CCGGGCCCACGCCTCCCACGGGGGTGGCACAGCTCACGGCTGTGGCCTGCTGGGGGCTCGCCGCTAGCCCCACTGCCGACCCCAGGACTAAGACCCTCCTCCACAGTCGTCGCTCCCTGTCTCCACCTGAACCGGCTCCTGACCCCTGCACCCATTCACCTGTGTCTCCACGCCTGTGCCTGCTTGGGGACATCCCTGCACGTGGGCTCGCACGGACGTGGTCTTTCACGTCTCACTCCTGGCCTCAAGGCTCAGCCCGGCTCCTCCATGGCCGGCCCTCCTCCGAGCCTGGTGGACCATGTGGGGCTGGGCCCTCGTTGGTGAGTGGCCCGGGCAGCTCCTTCCGGCGGCCGCTGTGAGCACTGCACTGTGCACGCCCGCACACGTGTGGTCGTGGAGCACTGAGAGGGCAGTTCTGGAACTAGCGACGCCGCCAGGTAGGCCGTTTAGCCCCCAGCTGCTTTCCAGAGTGGCCACCCCACTGTCGGATCCCAGCAGCAGGTCTGGCGGCTCCAGGCCCTCCACTGGGACTCGGGCTCCTCTGTGTCCTGGATAGCTCTCGCTGGCCCTAGTGCCCTGTGGTGCCTTGGCAGGGCTGGCGGGGCCGAGCTCAGGAAACCTGCACCTGGCCCGGACGTGGGGTCCAGGGCTGAATGGGCATGGAGGCTGCATGGCCCTGGGCTGGACCAGCCTCGCTGTCAGCAACCCTCCGAACATGGCAACGAACTGGGTCAGTCCCACATTAGAGGGAGGGCCTTTGTTTAGGGTCCTCTGCCCGTCAGAGCAGGGACAGCCGAGCTTGACCCGGGCGGGCCCTGGACGCAGCTGGCACCTCCAGCCACTCTCTGACCTCTGTCCTCAGCTCAGCCCGGCCAGCACTGGAGTGGGCAGAGCCTCTGGGAGCTGGGGGGTCCCACCTCACACACCTCCCTCGAGCCACCAGGGCCTCACCGTCCGCCTGGCCACTGTCGCTTCCCCCCTTTCCTCCCGGAGTCCGTCCCTCTGGAATTAGCTCACTCGAACGGCATCCTCGGAATCTCACTCACAAGCTCTGATTGCCAGTGCTCCCTGACCTCTGAACTCTCACCTTCTCTAAGAGCAGCCAAAGTGGGCGGAGGATCCTATCCCACCATCCCATGATCTCCACTACCCCTCAGAAGGTTCCAGAAATGCCAGGTTCTTGGCTGGCTGTCTCCTGGACCACGTCTCCCACTCAGAGGGCACAAACGCGTCTGTCGACCGCACAGACCGACTTGGGTGTGGACGCTGGCGGTCGGCGTGCCCGGCGGCCCTGCAGTCGGCTCTCGACGTGCCCCAGGGCTCTGTCTCTGCGAACCACAGATGCTCAGAAGCAGCAGGCGACGGCCTGTCCCGCTGCTCTTCCGTGGCCATTTCGGGAGGTCAGGTGACAACGCTGCAAGCCTGCACTTTCAACTCGGGCCCTGCAGGGCCACCCAGGGTTGGCAGTGAGCCCGGCCAGGCCTCAGTTTCCTCAAACATTAAATGGAGCTAGACCCCGCTAATCTCGTGGAGTCACTGAGGGGCTGGGAATGACAGCTCCAGGCACCGTGGAGCAGTGCCTGAGCCCAGCAGACCCCATAAAGTTAGCTGTTGGCACGGGCCCAATGCAAGCAGCCCTGGTCACTGCGGGCTGCAAACCCGTCTGATTAGGGTTATGTATTTATTTTTCTTTGCAACAGGGTCTGGAAGTGCAAACAGTGTGGTGGTTACAATGTTTCCAGAAGCCTTAGGGAGTTCCCGGCCACTGTGGGTGGGCTGCCCCCCACCCCCTTTGAGGGTGCTGATCTGTCGGTGCTATCAGACGCATGCTGCGGGGAGCAGAGGACACTCTGTTTCCTGGAACGCATGCCAAGGGACACTGGCTGGCCTCTGGCAGCTGGTTATGTTGAACTTGGAAAACGACGCTATGCTCCGGGAGGCTCAGGGGTCCGCCCAGGCCTCACCCTCGTGACCTGCAAGCTGCTGGGTGCAGAGCCCGGGCGCCTTCCCACACAGGCCTGGTGTCACTCGCGCTGCCGGGAGAGGAGAGCCCAGGGCAAGCAGAGAAGGGTTCTGGGCCTGGCTGAACCTGACCAGCTCAGCTCCCTGGCACCATGCCTGAGCCCTCCTGGAGCCGCGACACCGCCATCTGTAAAACAGGGCTACACGTCTAGCCTGAAGATTGCTTGAGCTGCTAGGAGCAGCCGCCCACCCCAGTACAGGGAAGCAGAGGGGCTCCGCAGAGAGTACAGGGTCCTGCTCCTTCCAACCCCCTGTCCTGGGGCCGGCGGGCCCTCAGCTGAGCACACACATTTCACGGAACCCCGGTCTTCCGCCGCCTGCACACGGGAGTTGCACGTCACTCAGGCCGCAGATCAAGCCGAGAACCTACCTCGCACCAGGACGTACCCGAGGAGCTGGGGACACCAGACAGACACCAAGGGGGCGGCACCGATGTAAACGCACAGCACGCAGGACCCGGTTGAAGGACACCAGGCCATGGAGAGACCCAGGTGACGGGGGCATGTGTAGGCAGTTCATATGGGCACCGACACACATGGGAAGTGAGGAGGGGAGAGCTCTGGTGCGTCCCAGCAGGAGCAGCAGCGGGCGAAGGCCCTGGGGCACAGGTGCTCTGCAGGACCAGCAAGGAGGCTGGTGTGGCTGCGGGGCCACGCGTGCGGAGGCAGGAGAGGGAGGCCCTGGCGAGGACCCAAGCACCGCACGGCAGGCTAAGTGGGCTGGCTTCTGGACAGTGTCCCTAAAACCCCAGAACAGAGGGTGGGGACTGGCAGACGGTGTAATGGCTAGGGCGCTGGACTCCCACATGGCCCACTGCAGTTTGAGTCCCAGACCCGGTAGCTTGAAACACACCGTGCACAAGTGTGAGCATGCCCAAAATTCCAAGAAGAGAATGGAGGAGAAGGGATTGTGGCATGGCCATCCCCCTCGGGGTGATTTCTCGCTTTCTGTCTCTCCCTCTCTGGCAAGCACGTACACCCTATAAGAAAAATCTCTCTAAAAAAGAAAGACAAGGTCACACTGAAGTAGACGGGCCCTAAATCCAAAAACATTTTTCTAAGAGGAGATGCGGAGACACAGAGGGAGGACCAGGTAAAGCCAGAGACACAGTGACAGGGCCGCAAGCCCAGGACTGCTGGAGCTGCCAGGAGCTGGAAGAGGCAGGACAGAGCTGCCCTGGAGCTCCCAGAGGCAGCATGGCCCTGCCCACACCTCGATTCTGGGCGTCTGGCCTCTAGGCCAGGAGAAAACGGATTTCTACATTGCAGCCACCTGGCCTGTGGCAGTTTGAACAGCCCAGGGGATTCGAACTCCCAGGTTTCACTCAGGTGAGGTGGGCCCACGAGGACATTGCATGTGGGTCTGGCCAAGTGATTGGCATTTATTTATTTATTTATTTATTTTTGAGAGAGATTTTTGCTATAGGGTGTGTGTGCTCACCAGAGAGACAGAGAGACAGAGACAGAAAATGAGCAATTACCTCCCGGGGGAATGGCCAAGCCAGAATCTCTTCTCCATTCTCCTCTCAGAATTTTGGGCATGCACACACACATGCCCGGTGTGAGTTTTAAGCCACCGGATCCAGGAACTGAACCACGGTGGACTACGTGAGTGTCCAGCAATGTAGCCACGACGCCATCTGCCGGTTCTGACAACTGCACCACCCATCCTGTCTGCCCAGGAGACAGGGAGTCTCAAATTCCATGGGTGTGTGCTGGGCAGATACGACCCAGGCTCCCGGCGCAGATAAGGCCACCAGGCCTGGCCTCCTCCATGAAAACAGCAAACCCCTCCAGACCATGGTCACCCATATCCTCAGTGTTGTGGGGCCACAGGCTGCCCCTGGGAGGGCGGCCGGTGCCTGGTGGGTGCAGCGCAGCCTCTGCCCACGTCCGTGGGGCCCTCTGGAGGGACCCGGAAACCCGGGAGATTAGTCGCAGTCCTGACGGTTTCTCCCTGCTGTCCTGAAGTCTCCCAGACAGATGTCTCTGAGGGCCTGGAGCCTGCTATCTCCCAGCTGAGATCCTGGTTTTTGTTTGCTTGTTTTTTCCTCCTTTTTAGAGAGACTTTTACTATAGGGTGCGTGTGCTTGCTGGAGAGGGAGGGACAGAGAGCGAGAAATCGCCCCCCACTGGGGGGGAAGGCCACACCATAACCCCTTCTCTCTCCTCCCTTCTCTGCTTGGGATTTTGGGCATGCATGCACACGCACCTGGCGTAAGTTTCAAATCACTGGGTCTAGGACTCGAACCGCAGTGGACTACGTGGGAGTCTAGCAACGTAATCATTATGACATCTGCTGGTCCCTTGTCAGACATTTCTAAAGAACTGTGTCAGCCAGTGGCAGGCCTGGAGTGGAGGACGCCCACCTACCAGCTTGGCACCCACTGGCCCAGCGCCCACGGTGACCCCTGTCCAGCTTAGTGGGAGTCAGGACTGGGGCGTGGCCCACCAGGGGCTCCACCTCCGCTGGTCATCTTGGCAGCCCTCCGCCGAGGTCACTGGCTGTCCTTACAGGAGGCCGGACTTTCAGACAGCCTGAACGCTGACCTCCCACTGCCCTCTCCTGGCCACTGGACCAGAGCAGGCCCTTTAGTTCTAGGAGGGCAAGGCCCAGCTGCAGCTGGACAGAGAGCTCCTCCCTGGACAGAGACGTCCCGGACCAGGAGTCAGGGCTTTGGGCCTAGCCCTGCTCATCCCACATGGAAGCCACGCCCATCTGTGGCCAGGAGCCCTGGAAACGTGCCCAGGTGAGTCATACAAGGACACGCCAGTGTGAACGATCTCTAATCGCTCAACATGGTGACATGCTGGGGGATAACATTTGGGATATACTGGGCTAAAAATACACAAAAATGACTTCACCTTTCCCCTTTTCTAAACAGTGGCTCCCAGGAAAAGGACCACGCTGTGGCCAGCATCGCACTGCAGGAGCATGGGGCTCCAGTGCACTGGCCGGCAAACCACCGCTCTGGAAGACGGGAGTCAGCCCAGGTGACCTCGGCTGTCCATGGCGGAGGGGCGCATGCGGTGCTCTGAGCACTGGTTCAGGAGCCCCCAACGAAGCCCTGCAGGGACACGGGCTGCGGCACCTGCCCCACCTCTCGACCGCCCTGGCCCATCTCCCAGCCCCTCCCCCCAGGCCTCCTGCTCCTGCCTGGGACACTGTCCCTGAGGCCTTCGCTGGGTGGCCACTACGTGGCGGGCCGCCCTCAGAGCCCTGGGGAAGCCGCGGCTCTGCACATCACACTTCGTGCTTGCTTCCCCTTCCCTGCCTGGTTTTTCATTCCTATTGACATCGTTATGAATTTATTTATTTCTTCCATGAACGAGAGAGACACAGAGAGACACAGAGAAAGAGAGACAGCACCCCCAACAGGGTCCTGATGCTGCAGTCCACAGCCAGCCCCAGCCAGTCCCCATGGCAGCACACGCATGCCCTGGGCACCCAGCCGTCCCCACACAGCCCGGAGCCCTCTGTGTGGGCCAGCCCTGCCAGGCGTCTCACTTTCCTGCTGTGCCACCAACTGGCCTTCCCTGCCGGGTTTTGCTCCAAGACCTTTAGGGTTGCGGACCCAGCAAATAAAAGTACAGGACATGGGATCGGCAGATGGCGTAATGGTTACATCGCTGGACTCCCATGTAGTTGGCCACGGTTCGAGTCCCAGACCCGGCGCTTTAAACTCAGGCTGGGCGCGTTTGCATGCGTGCGTGCGTGCCCAAGATCCCGAGAGGAGAACAGAGGAGAAAGGATTGCGGCACGGCCATCCCCGCCGGGGGTGATTTCTTGCTTTCTGTCTCCCTGTCTCCCTCTGCCTTTCCCGCAAGCGCACACACCCTATAGCAAAAACCTCTCTTCAATCAATCAGTCAATCATCAATCAATCAATACAGGACACACCTGTACTTGCGTGCCGGACGAAGCACGGATATTTGAGTCTCAGCACACCCACGCACTACGCTGAACGCCACTTGTTCATCTGAAATCAAATTTCCGTGCCTCATCCAGTGGCTCCACCAGGATGGGGTAGGAGAGTCCTCTGTTACCTCACAGACGGCTTCAAGTCTCCATAAGCCAGGCTTCTGCCTCTGTAACGCTGCACTGCACCCCGCCGACCGCAGGCACACGCAGGCACAAGCCTGGCGGTGCCTCCCGAGTGCGGGAAATAGCGCCCTCCCACCGTGAGACAACCGTGTGGGCAATGAGGCTGCCAGACGCCAGGAGCGCAGGCCCTGCGGGCGTGAGAGGCGCAGCCAGCCCGGCCAGGGGCGCAGCCCTTCCTCGCTTCCCTGTGGTTGAAAGCACCCCCTACAGAGGTGGCCTCGAATGTTCTCAAGGACGAGGCTGGGGACGGGTCACAGCCACCGGGCACCCTGGCTCCTGTGCCACCTGGAAATTTCTCGGCAGAGCCACAGGGCCCAGCGGGGGCACGGCAGGCCCTGGCACCGGTCTGAAACACCAGTCCTCCTCGGGTCCTAGATGCTCCTCCTCGGGTCCTAGAGGCTTCTCCTCGGGTCCTAGAGGCTCCTCCTCGGGTCCTAGAGGCTCCCACGGTCGGCCCACGGCTGCTCCCGCCTGATTGAGGCAGGAGGCCCCCGATCAGGG